CAGTCCTTCCATTATCTTCATTTCTCATTTCTTTGAAAACTTTACGTGCTTTGGAGGATCTTTTGCAACCATGTTCTTGCTGCTTCCTTCCTGCCAAGTTTGGAAATGTGTTTTCCTCCGTCTCTCTGTCAATGGCACATGGTGATTTGTGTTCACTTGGAAATAAATAATTCATCTTGGCCCAAGAGAAACACAAAATCATTGTAAGTAATATAAAGCAGCTCTGCACCTTTGCAAGAGAACACTGCAAACAGCTAAAAAGCATCACATAACAATAAAAATCAACAACATATTCAGAATTGAATGTTCAGACTTAATACCTGCAGACACTATCCCCTGAGTATAGAACATGAAGGAAAAAAAAAGAAATCAGAGGAAACATTCAAGAGAAGTGTGCGAAATATCAGTGTTAGAAGGCTTGCTTGTTTTAGAGCCATACTTCCCTGAATTTAGTAAGCATGTCCCAGAACCAAAGAGATCCATTTATGGGTTATGCTGGTCTTCCTATTTTTCTTCAGTAAAATATTAAATAAAGGAGGAGAATATTTATGTATTGCTTATTTCTTTTTATTTTCTTGTATTGCTTAAAATAATGGCTCTTATTTTGATTAGGTATTTTTATTCATATACATATAAATAAATCAAATGTTAATTTTGAACAAAATGGGTCTTACTCTCCATTTTCCCTTCATCTTTCATATAAATTATTCATAGTAGGTATGTAACATTACCTTTTATATTATGTTATGACCGCAGGCCTTATTCCAGATCTGCGAGAGTTAACATTATTTTTGTTTTCTGTATAAAGTCATGAAATCCTGGACTCTTAATTAAGCAGAACTTCTGTACCATAAAAGCTACAAGAACATATGTGCAGTGCAAGCAAGCTTTTTAAATTCTCAGTTTAACACTTTGTGACATACTATTCCAACAGATTATTCTGCTATTGCATTTTGGCAGAATTTGAAGGAATTCAGAGAAGAAAGATATTTTATTTACCTATAAATTCACAATAAATTATCTGTTGGCAGATAATGGGCTTTATTTTTTTTTTTTGTTCATCTCTGGGTTTGCACAGACTACAGAAAATACAGATCACAAAGCAAGGACTAAAGTTGATCGTACAAACATGGAAAATGTAAGTACAGTATGGTATGGAGAAGTAGAAGAAATACTTAATGGTTTGTGAAATCAGTGCACTAGCGCTTTCACGAATTTCTCTGTATGAACATTTTTTTCTAAAACTTCCACTTCCTTAAAAATGAAAGGTCTCACAATATATGAGTTGTGTTCAGTTCTAATAATCAAATCTTTTATGTAAAAAATGAGATATGAAGATAATTTCACATACAAAAAGATCTATGATTCCATGACTGAATGTATTAACAGAGGTTATTTTGTTAGGAAACAAACCTCATCTCACTTTTAGTTAATTATTTTTCAAAGGCACACAGCACCCACGGCTCATTTTTTGCTGCATAACATCCTGATATCATTTGCTTGCAAAGTTTTAAGTGGATAGTAAAATATCAGGGGATATTAAAATTCAGCATTAAAGCCTGCAAGGTCTAGACAAATGGGTCGGATTTTTTTTCTTTTCTGATTAATGCCAAGACACAACATTTCTCATGTGCCAGGTTACAGAAACATGAAATTTACATCCAACATCTATTTAAAACATATAACATGATGCTTATGGTCATTTTTTTAAAACTTAATTTCTTCCTATACAACAGAGCTGATGCCCTTCAACAGTGGTATCACCAAGTCACCTGAACTGCCTGTAGCTACCATGTGGACAGGACCTGATTGCATTCTCCCTGCAATTACACATGTAACGGGGAGAGGTTGAAAATATGAGATGTAATCTTCTGTCCATCTCCAGTGTTCTTGGCAGATTTACCACTGACTTTCCCAGAAGTGGAATTTTGCAGGGACCCTTAAAATTAAAGCTTTTGCTTTATTTTAGCTGTTATCACAGAATCACAGAATGGTTGAAGTTGGAAGGGACCTCAAGAGATCATCTAGTCCAACCCCCTGCTCCAGCAGGGACACCTGGAGCACATGGCACAGGGCGGCATCCAGGCGGGTTTGGAAGATCTCCAGAGAAGGAGACTGTACAACCTTTCTGGGCAGCCTGTTCCAGGGCTCTGTCATGAGAAAAGGAAGGCTCTGTTATGAGAAAAGGAAGTCAAAATACTGGAGAACATCCAGACTACTGTCCTTGTCTGCCTACAAGCTATTGGCCTTATTTCTGCAGTCTCAGTTCATCATATCTGTTGTATACATATATACATGACATATATATTTATATGTCATATCTGCATGGTGGCTAAAGGCAGGAGTTCTGTGCACAAACTCCCTGCTTCCTACTTCCCACCAATCTGTCCCTCTGCTATGAGTTTTCACAGTGAAACAATTTACTGTAGTTTATGCACACACACACCTTAGCTATACTCTAGAAAGGCGCTTTAGTCCTTGCTTTGCCTTACAGATTCTTCATTAAGCAGCAGAGGCATAGGGAGAGAGCTGTAAGCATTTCCTGACTCACCAGATCGCGGACACTGTGTTCATTTTCAATAGCTGCAAACTGGTTGTTTTGCTCCAGCCGTCTGTTCCAGGTAACATCACAAAAAGAAACACATTTGGAGAAAGCAGGGAAGCTCATCAGTCTCTGAATACACAGCAGATATTATCAATCAACACTGCCAAATCATTGTCCCTTAGGCCATAGGGCCTCCCTGGGACCTAACCATGGAACAACCTTGATGAGCTGCACAGTCGGAGTGCAGTGCGTCTCCCTGCGTGTTATAAACAGACCACTGCTTTGCTAGAGGCCTCAAGAGTCTTCTTTGATGGAAAGAAATGCTACCACAGAGCTCAAGTAAGGAAACAAGTTTCACTGGGCTCAGAAGAGTAGAAGGATCCAGTGTAAATTTTACATAGATTTGCACAGATAGATAGATAGATAGAGTTAGATTTTAGAAGCTTCCTACCTAAGATGGAGCCTCACTGTAGCTCTTTATGTTTGAGGAAAACATTACCAAGTATGAAGGACCACCAAAACACTCAGCTTGCTGACCTTCTTATGGAGACTATCTAACTGTCAGGAAAGCAATTTGTATTCCTAAGTGTTTTTGAGAAGCTTTAACACAATGTTCGTAAAGAGATCCATCAGCTTTGATAAAACAAGGGTTGAAGTTCCATGAGGAGAAGACTCCTTTAATCAGAACAAATGCAGGCTGTCACTCTAGTTCTCCATGTTTTGGATTGATATGTATTACCTTCCTACTTTATTGCTTTAGTAGGTGCCAAAGTACTTTGAAATAGGAATACAGTGATCTGAAATTAATGTCACTGGGATTTTCTGTAAATGTAGATCTGGGCCTCTGTCTCTAATGCCTTTGAATCCAACAGAAACTCATTTATTCATGCTAAGCAAGCTTGCAACACAGATAATTTATAACCTTGCTTTGCTAAAATTTGTTATCAAAGTTCATATATGGATAAATAAATCTGAAGTTTAATCAGCTTTTTGTGTATATATTTGTTAATCTTTTTTTTTTCCTTTTTTTTTTTTTCTGTTTTCTGAGCACATGGTTAACATGGGGCCAATAAATCATCCTATTTTTAATGATCGGAGGTTTGTGACATTGCTTGCTCCGTCACTTATGTGCTCTTTGATTAACAACTGTGTATAAAACCCAGCCATCATTTTTTCAAATGAGGAAGCCAAAAAAAAAAAGCCTGTAAAAACAAATGTCAGTATAAAAATGTCTTATAAAATTCAGCAGAAACCTGTTAAACAATGGAGTTATTTGTGATAGCTGATGAAACTTAGGAGTCCCAAAAATGTCCCCAAGTAAGTTAAAAAGAATATATGATGACAGTAACTGACCTCTTAGATGATGCCATATTAAGAAAGGCAAGATGATATATATGATGCAAGTAAAAAAGATGCTTCCTGTATTGGAAATAAGTCTTACTCCTTTTAGGAATTCTGTTCTGTTGGTTAAAAAAAATTGCATCCTTGTAACACATTATACAGATTGTGAGCATGCTTAAAGGTATTTTCATATGTAGATCAAATAGAAGACAAAACACCATCTTTACAAGCCGGTAAAAGCCTTGGTATTTTAGAACCAAATCGAAGTAAAAATTAATTAAAAGCAGAGTTAAATTACTCTGCTATCTATCATATCAGGATAGCTCCAATAATTTTAATGCTCTTTATAAAAATGTATTTTTATAATACATATACTGAAATATATGAACTTTAGAATTTTATCTGTTCAACCTCAGCTCTGTTTTTCACTTCTCCTATTCTGCTGACCCGTCCAGTGAGCAAAGAGGATTTGTAACTAACTCTCTTGGCCTTTCACTTATTTCACTGTGTGACTGTCGTTCTTACACAAGAAGTGTTCAGCTCATAATTTGCAATGAATGAACACACTGTCATTGTCAATGAATTTGAGCCACATTTTTAAATTGTAATAATCTCTAATATCTCATGTGTATGCTTTGGCCAATTCGCCTGACTTAATTTTACCTTTCTGTATGAAGAGTTACTTGAACTCTAGAAGTCTTGAGTCACTTCCATTCCTAAAATGATCTATTGTTAATATACAGACAGAAGAGGGTGACTCATCACACAGTATTTTCCACAATCCATGAGCCTATTTTAACCAGTGGAGTTGTAGAAATAAATAATAAAAGAGTAGAGTCTAAACCAGACCATGTACTTAGTGGGCTGCTCAGACCACCAAGCAATGGATTACAGCAGCATGCGGGCTGGCTTTTCTGATCCATATATAACCCTTGGTGAGACCTTATACTGAATACAACTCCTGAAATAGTAAATGAAATCAGATGCAATAATACGGCCTGGTATTTCTTTCAAAGTAACCTCTGAAACCAGAGTCTAGTGTATCTGGAACAATGTTTAAGAAGAATAGACTTGACATGCTATGGTCCAAACTTTCATAAACTTTGGACAAGCAGAAGCCTGGGATTTTGGGTAACTTCAGGGACTTGTTCATGAATGACTTGCAGAGTCTGATAAAAAAAAAAAAGTCTCTACAATGAAGAATATCAGAGTGGAAAAGTGGAGCTTAATTTTTACCTGGAACTTTTGTGTTCTCTAAGTAGCATATCATAACTATTTGTAGCACCTAAGGATTTAAATACTTCAGCACTAGTTCTCTGAATAATTGTACGGACTCTAATAGGGCTACTTATGTGCACTGTGTCTTTGGAAACTCGGATTAAAAAAGTAAATGCTTCCATATCTGCCTATCAGTAAATCTGTTTCTTTACCTTGATTCCAAACTACTATGATTTTTAAAAGGGTCAGAAAATCTTCTCACACTTCATTAAGTTAATTTGATTTTACAGTAGCAGACTCTATCCATTATTACTAGATTTTCCTCTCTTTTTTTTTTCTTTTCCCACAGTTTTGTACTTTTTTTTCCCCATCTGAAAATTAAAAAAAAAAAAAAAAACCTCAAGGTGTGTGTGTGGGTGAATTCAGGCTCTTGGGAAATATGGAGTTAATGTAACCCAGGCTGCTGCCATGAATAGGAAATAGCTTAACCCTGTAGTCAATTTGCCTAATTGATTAGTAGCCTGAGTGCAGCGCTGAGGGGCTAGATGCCCTGACGGATACGCATGCACGGAGGCTGCACAGCACCCTAGCAGAAGGGGCATCTTTGGTGCTTCTGGAGGCCAGGCCGTGAGCCGCTCTCAGAACAGAGCTCGTGGCCATCTCAAACGTTGCTGAACACAAAACCAGCTGCAGATTTGTGAAGAGGAGCCAGCGAGGGAATCCACCACTGCCTCCTACCCGCAAGCGCGCGGGGATGAGCGGTGCCGGGGCCCGGCCGGCAGCCACCCCGGAGGATGCTCAGCCCCCTGCAGAGCGATTGCAGGGCTCCCCGGCAGAACAAGGGCTGGGTTGCCCAGCCCAAACGCTCCCCATCTCTAAACAGCAAACCCCAGAAAACAGTTCACTTCCTTCAACTTTTCTTCTCTCAGAACCAGAAATGCCCAGAATGGCAGAAATGCTGAAACGTGGCAAGCTCCCCAAGAGTCGGGAACAACAGGAGCAGATCTGCAGCTCCCTAATCAGCTTAGCAAAGGTGATTTGTGAAACCCAGTGGCAGGAAGTAGTTTATAGTACAGTAACTCAGCCCATTGTCTGCACTTTTGCAGCTCGGCTTCATTACAATTACCATGATAAAGACCAGCAGTTTTTTCCTATTTCCCTTTTACCCCTTCAAGTCTCTACTTGCTCTTGACTTTTCTGAATTTCACTTTGATACTTTGACACCTTGGTTGTTCTCCCAGACAGATATAATCACAAGAGCTCAAATAAACCTTGTTTGCTGGCGCTAGTGTTTTATTTCTGGGGGAGAGGAAAAGGTGGGGTGACAAGGAAGAATAAGAAAAAACTATGGAGAACAGAGCTGTATTACAAAGATTTCCCGGGAGAACTCACCTCCTCCTCAGTTTGGACCAACTCTTCAGGTCTTTTCTGCAATTCAGAGAGCCTAGAAAATTGCAGCTGTGGAACAAAATCCAAAATTCAGGTTTACCATAGAACAGAAACAGCAAATAGTGAGCCCAACAGGATAAATATGGATTGCTGCCTGCCTACTATGTTTCAGCGTGCAGTGCTCTACCTTGGTCCGATGAGACCTTGCAGTTCTTGTCTTGAGAAAGAATATGGCAACAGTTTAAATTTAAAGGGGAAGAAATGCCTGTAAAAACCTTGTTCAAAGCATCGCTTTGTGAAACAGTGTGGTAGCTTACAGGCTGCTACAGTGCTTGTTCCAAGCTCATGCCAAGGAAAACACCAACTTTTTTTTTTTTTTTTTCCCATGTCACCACTATTTGCTGAAATGCTTGAACAGGTTTCCAGCCAAATACAACCTCCTGCTTTTAACTTGTTGGACTTAGTGATTCCAAGTTACTACCACTGCAACATAGCAAAAACGTATCTGAAAAAGCATCTGTGGAGCCCCTTATGAAAAGCAATATCCCCAATCCAGACATCACAGAACTCTGTTGTAGGATAAGAGTATTGTAGGATGGGGTAGTCCCCTCAGAGGAGAAAGGGAGTCGCAAATCTAGTTGTTCGTCTCTTTAAGAGTAGCTTAAGGAGCTTCCCCTTCGGCCCGTAGAAGAAAAGGCTGCTGAGGGCAACATGCTCGTTGCCCAGTCTCTAAACCAGCAAAAAGAGCCATGCCGGGGGTTGGGGCTTGTGCTCTAGAGACACTCACCAGGCGCTTGGAGCTAAGGCACATGGGACAAGCGAGCCTACCTTCAACAGGACAATTATTTCTCTTCTTTGTGGTTCAATGTCTAGTGGAGTCATGACCACATTACTAGGGAGTAGGTTGTATTTCCTGTAATTTTACAGGAAAATAGATCTGGTTGCTTTTTATTCTGCTATTACTTCCCAGTCCATCTTTTTTTTCTTGGCATCAAGTCCCTGTACATCCATACACTTCACCAGCCTAGCTCCTGATTTAGTTCTTTATGGGCCAATTGCAACTACTAAACATAGCATTAGTCCTTTCAACAAAACATATTACTTTATATTCCCCCCAAATTAATCTTAGAAGCCCTAGTATATCAGTCAGCAACTTGGATGACAGAATAGTGGATGCATTTATTAAATCTGCAGATGATACCAACCAGGGAGAGGCAGAAACTGGACTGGGAATTCACCAAGTGATCTTGACAAATCGAGTTTTCTGAGGAAACGGCAGCTGACTCGGCACAGACAAATGCAAGACAATGCACAAAAGCAGGAATAACCCCTGCATGAGGACTGATTATGGTAGAGCTGGCCAAAGCATGAGCTCGGAGTAAGGAAGGGTGAGGGGCTGCAGAGGACTGCAAGCTTCCAGCTGCGGGGGAGGCACGTCAAGAGAGATGCAGGAAAACTGCAGGAGCAATGAACAGGGATTAGAGAGGGCAGTCAATAAAAATGGTGTTTTAGCTGAAGAAGAAAGGACCGAAGGGGAACGTGGTGCCCACCCCACATGGCAAACCTGCAAGAGGCAAATTATTGTTCATCTGGTCATCAGTTATTCCACAGTGGGAAGTGCAGAAAGGAATAGGCTTAAACTGCAGGAGGAAAGTTAAGCTTGCATGTTAAGAAAAACTTCTTAATTATAAGGGGAGGCGAGTTCTAGACTAGTTTGACACCGCTAGCACATCTGTGAGAAAAAAACTTAGGCAAGCAGCTGTCAGGGCTATCTAATGCTGTGTTGGACAGAGGGATGGATTAGATCATCTTTTCAGGGCTCATTGAAAGTTGTGCAGGTTTTGCCAATGTTTTCACAAAAATAAAACAAAAAACTTGTGAGCTAAGCTACCAATACACCCATAATCTTTCATCCTCTACAAAAATCTGTGTGTTCATGATATTTTATTAAAATATCACAATGCAATTTTTGCTTGATGCTTACCAAGCAAAGAGAGCAACGATCCATAAACAATAAACACATTTCCAAGGCCATTAATCTATATAACCGACTTCTTAAAGCACCACGAGGTTCATTTACACTACCCAATCTTAAAACAAACAAACAAAAAAATCAACACTGCTATACTGAGACATCACCTCTAGGGACCCAGGTGTCTGCAAGCTCTCATGTGTGTTTTTCTGTTAGTGCATATGCCTAGAGACAGAAAAACAAACACTGAAGAATGACAGACAGATATATTGTTTTGTATTAAAGGATTCTGGAGAAATAAATTAATTAAGAAACTAATTTACATAAATATTTTTCTTTACCTATGATGTACAAGATTATGCATTTCAACTGTAGTTTATAAACATGAGATAAAGCATTTTTTAAATTAACTGTTTAAAAAAATCTGAAAAACATCAAGGAAAAGACAGACTGTGTAATATTTTTTTTAAATTAATGTTACTCAAACTACCTGTGTACAACACACATTATTTTGTGCATCCTTTTGTCCTTTTTTTTGAGTTTTCAAAACCCACTGGGCCAGAGGCAGCTCCTGTATAAAGATGAAACATTTCTATTGGTTCCATTGGATTTATACCGATATCCAATATGACTTCCCCCCCACCAAGGACAGAGCCTCAGGGTTATTGCAGTTTCATATCACTATGAAGTTTTTCATCATTGATACTGCTCCCTTAGAATTTACTGTGAGATCCCTCCTGACTGCACAGCAGGACAGTGGTTCATTTTGTTGCCTTTTTTTTTTTTTTAATCTGATAGTATTTTTGTAGCTCTAATAAATTCCCAAATAAATTTTCCCAGGCTTGAGCAACACTGCACATAATCAGTTGACTGTATGGTCTTCAGAACATCTCATACAACTTCTCTGTCTGGCAGACAGCTCTTTCAGATAGTTCTGCATTTTTTAAATACTATATTTATTATTAAAATAATAACGACAATAAAGATAATTTTGAATTTGTAGGCCTTTTAACAACTATCACGAGATATTACTATAGCTGCATTGGAAAGAATAT